AGCTAATACCATATTTATTTATTTTTTTAATCGTAAAAATTAACAATTTTTCATTTCTTTTTTTAACCATTTACAACTTAAAATAGGAGGATTTAACACTTGTTCTTTCGAGTTAATTGACACTTAACCAACTTAAGATTCGTTACCCCTCCCTCCCTCATGGAAATCCACTCTTGGTGACTTGTTAAAAAAAAAAAAAGAAAAAGATAGGAGGATTTGAACCACATCCTTAACACTGGGATATGCACCTCACTACGGGGTCTAGATGTATAGGGCCACAAGACCTAGGTGCAACAAATTTCCAATCTTTGTAATATAAAAAGGTAAAATAGTATTATACAATACAAATTATACATTTGAAATCATTAAAGTTGTGGGAAATGGAAAGAAGAAAATTGCATCCTTCCATTTCTTTTTTCCCTATTTTTTTTATTTGAATAATTAAATAAAAAATAAAATAAAGAAAATTTTCCTTTTCCCTTTAATTTTTTTATAATCAAATAAAGAAATTTTTTTTCTTTTCTCTCCTCTATTTCCCTTAACCCTAAGTATACTCTACTTGGAATAAGTTTTTCGATATTAGATATTATTTTCCCAATTTAATACTTTTTTTTGTTTATTTTTCATAGTTTTAATTTAATTTTTTTACTTTTTAAATTAAAATTTAATATACTATCTAAATAATAATTAAAAAATAAAAAATATAAACTTAAAAAAATAATATAAAATATAACATTAATTATTTTAAATATGATAATAACACCACCTAAAAATGCATTCTTTATATGGAGAAAATCTTATAAGTTCAACTAATTGAGTCTTTTTGTTAGTATTAATGTTAACTATCACATCATAGTCCTCCCCGAGCTAAGATGACCTTGTTTTGTAGAACTTATTCAACTTGTTTATAATAAATACCTTTTGTAGCGTGAAGGATATATCATACATATAGTAGTAGTTTCACTCACACGGTTAATTATTAGAATTGTAAAATTTGTTTAATTTTTTATTTTAATTTAATTAATAAAATCATTTATATTTATTATTTAATAAATTAAAATTAATTTGTAAATAAATATTTTTAAATATTATAATTAATTGTTAAATAATAATAAAATT